AAACTCAGAGGCTTTATCATCATATGAAGCAATAAACATGCTATCAGTGCAATGAAATCTTCGTTCGCTGTGTCTCTACTTAGTGTCGTGATGAACCTATCTACAGAATATATTCATTCAGACACACTCATCACTCGTATCTACCCTTACATACTGTGGTAACAAATATATCAGTGTTTCCTCTGCATTCATTTAGGAGTGGTGGGCCGCCATTCCTGAATCCTCGTCGCCGCTCCTTCAATTTTTTATTTTTTTTTATTACTGTCGCAAATACACCACCGCCGCATGTGTCCACCTTCACAGCAGAGTCCTGTACTGGGTCGGGTACTCGCGAGACGTACTAAGGTAAACGACAGGTAACTAGCTTGCTCAGTTTCCACTCTTTGGGGAGTTAATACGACGTGAATTACTCGCGAGAAAGTGACATCAGGTCCAGCACCAGGCTCCAGGTCAGAGAGTCAGAGGAGGGTCGTCTTGGTGAATAAGGCAGCGACTTAGCGAGAAAAGGTAGACTTATTAGCTTAAGATAGCTCATAATGGCTTTTACAAGTTAAATAGATATTCCCATAATATTGATGGCCAGCTAACGTTACATAACATATGGGTAGCTTAAGTTAATTGGGCCCGTGTCACTAAGGTGAGTAAACTAACTGATAGTATTAAGCTAATATATACGCGCCATGATGGAACTGCTGACTGCATCTTCAGATGAGCTGGTTCAAATATTTCTCTAAGAAGAGAAAGACACCCGATGAAGATGACGCTAGCCAGCAATCATTAGCCTTTTACTGACTCATCAATGATGACGGTTAGGTAAAAAATAATGTTCACACTGTAATCAGCTGTGATGGGAGTGTAAATGATGCAACGTTAATGTTTAATGTAATCGTATAAGACAAGTAACATGAGACAGGGAGGAGCAGTGGAACAAAGTGAAGGAGAGCAGAGAGGAGGAGCAGGAGAGAGCGATGACAGTAGAGGAGAAGAACCTAAAGGGGAGCTCAGGTTATCAGGCTGGGACCCTACATGGATTGAAAGAAATAGTCTGTTCCACTCATGGCTCTACCACACTGATGATGTGAGTGTCCATGAACCTTTTTTTCCTTTCTTAATTTTTTGCACAATATACATGTCAACATAAAGACATTTAATAATACATCATCAGACTATTTATCATCAGATGAGGGTGTAGGAAATTGAGAGAGACAATGTCATTCTTGTTTCTATTTGTAGGTGAAGACTGACCAGAGAATCAGGCTGCAGGGGATCAGCTTGTAGCCTGGATGCTGCTGAGCCTCTCAGAGAATTTCCCTACAACAGAGCCTTAGAGCTCTTCGATAGAAAACCCAGAAAAATTAATTATTCTGAGCCTGGGTGGAAACTTTGCCACTGATTCCACAGCCCCATCAAGAAATTACTATTTATTCTTTTTTTTATATTTTTTTGATCTAATTTTTTTGAAAAGCCATTTTCAACTGGCCATTCAACAAATAGGTTGTAAAAGTAAAATCTGCACTCAAATGTCATCTGTTAACGCCGCCACAGCTCCCGGACAGCCTGCCGCCGCTGCTGAAAAAGATCCTGGAGGAAACACTGTATATTTTAAAAAGTATATAAAGGTCAAGGCATGTACAGAAAAACTGTTTGGAAAAAAGCATGTGCATTCTTTATAGTGGGGAAAAAGTACAAAAACAATAAATAAACAAAAATGTACAGTGTTCAGGAGAGAGGCACAGAGAGACGTCTTATCTTTTGATCGCAAGAAAACAACTGTAAATTATATGAACTCGTAAAGGAATTGGCATTGCGGCATATTCAGTGCAATAATTTCCATTGCTGGCATTAAAAACTACAAACGTAAGAGCAGCTGTATTTCATTTGCAGACCATGTACAGACAGCTATAGAGTACCACCAAAAATCTCTTTATTATTAAAAATAAAACTAACATAAAAGATTTTTTGTTAGTTTTACAAAATAAAACTCCTCAACAGTAGGAGGAAATCAGAGAACAAAAATACAAACATGTATTAATGTTATTTTTTACAGTTTGCGTACAGCTTCGCACCCCAACAAAGTACGCTATAGTACCCTACATCTCCTAAACGCTTAGCAAATCGGAAAAACTCGTAAAAACACAACTTTCACAGCTAAACTCCCGAGCGCCTAAACCACATGTTGAGCCTTTTCGGCTTAGACGGATGTGCAGTAATCAGGGTGTTAAGTCAAGTAAAAAGCCATAAACGTCAACAAAAATTATGAACGGTGGGTGATGCCTCTCGTTTCCACCGATTCAAATTAAAGTGACAATAAAAGACTGATGTCAGCGTGAGTCAGGAGAAAGCTGCAGCGGCGGATGGATGAGGTGGGATTTTGCGACTTCTTTGTTTTTGTTTTGGTATGCGTGGCTGGACGGTAAGTCCGTAAGCCAGCCAGCCAGCCAGTCAGAGTTGGGTGAGCAGGTGAAAGACAGAAGAACATGAAAACAAAGATAATCCCTTGGTGATGCTCACCTCGTCCTGGCCTCCGTCGCTCCCTCCCTCCTGCCCGCTCACCTGCTATGTGCCACTGAGCTGCCCCCCCCAAACACCTCTCCACTCCCTCTCCACCTTTTACCCTTCACCCCCTCTCTCTTTCTCCTCCATCCCTCTCTCCATCTTCCCCCAATGCCAGGTCTTGCCAAGCTGTCAGTGGGGCAAGGTGTAGAGGGGAGATAGCAACACGCATGTACACACACAGATGAATGAGTACACAAAACACATGGTGCTTATGCAAGCTAGACTACAAGGGTTGTGTTACCTTTGCTACACACACACACACACACAGACACACACAGAGTGGTGGTCGTCTGCCTCAGCTTTGCTTCGCTCTGCTTCGCTTGGCTGCCTGACTAAAGCTAAGCTCTGGTTATCCAGGCTGCTGAGACCAGGCTGCCTTAGTGACACACACTCGCACAGACACACACAAGGCTTTCATGTCCACGATGCATGCAAACACAAACACGAGAATGTAGATCTTGCGAGCACAAACGCGCACAATCGCGGCACAGTGACGGAGCAGCAGTGGACAGTTTCACTGGTCCACAGTGGCTGAATTGTTTCCCTGACAAACTGCACTGAGTATCAACAACACTACAGCAGGGGGCAATATTCAACCCCATCCTTCACATGCTGATTAAATCTAAATCAAATGCACATTATTGAGCACAAGCTGCAATTATTTACAGCCAAAAGTCATGGCTTCCACTCACGATGGCTATGGTTTGTGTTTATATTCTTTCAGATGCAACAGAAATAAAAACTACTGCATGAAAAAAAAAGTGCAGACGTAGGCAAGCAAAAGATGGTTAATGAAAAAACACGCTGCCAAAATAAATCCCAAGTATCGAAAAGCATTTATTCAACGCTATTTGGATGCCAAATCTTTGCAAAAGTGGGGAAAAATGGGAAACAGCGGTGCCTGTGTTGCACGGATTATGAGTGAAATTGTAACCCAAGACCACATGTAAGATGTTACATCCTATTCTTCACTCCAGAATACTTTACAAACACACGTCAGAAACAGTTTCTGTTTTAGTGCACATAAAATTTTCACTTTACAGCATTCCATATCCAAGTATTCTTGCCGTATTTGTTTCATAGCAATTTGATTTTTATTACACACATAAATATGAGTTGCGTGAATCAACTGAAACCTGCCTTACAGTAGATTCCTGAGGAGGCTGCCACTGACAATCACATCCTCTTGCCTTTGACAGCTCTGCCTGCCTGTACAGTGGACTGAGTTTAAAAAAAAAAAAAAAACAACAACTCTCTTAAGCAGTTTTCCTGCACATATAGCCCACAGTAATAGACATTACAACCACAAACATGTCCCCGAGGGAGCACCGTAACACATTCTGTCAGTACTTCTTGTGTGGCTTCTGCTGCTATCGACAAACTGAATCTCACCCCCGCCTCACGTGAAACAGGCTTAACCCCCAGAACCTGGTGGGGCTGAAACCCATCAATGAAAATCACACCACTAATCAAACTAACAACCGGGTTTGAGCGGCTGTCAGAAAATCCACTAGATAGTCACAGAAAGAGAAAGCCTGCATGGTGGTGGTGGTGGTGGTGGTGGAGGAGGAAACGGGGGAGGAAAAGGGGGGTCGGCGACCACATGGTCAGAACGTCCCGTTGCCCATCTGGGTCCCATAAAGGAAACACGGAGGCCAAGGACACCACATGCCCCCATGCATGATGCCCACTCACCCATGCACTGCAATGAATACTATTTTATGAACATGGCAGAAAATGAGGCCTTCAACTGGCAAAGCTGAACCTTGTTTTTGGACAAAAATTTAAACTTTCATGAACTTTCGAGAAGTGAAAAATTCCAGCATTGCAAGTGTGGCTCTAATCGTGCAGACTGTAGTTTTAAAGTGTGAATCTTGTAGTTTGTGGTAAATGAAACATGCACCATCATGCTCTGGATCTGTCTTAAGAAAAGATCAATACATCACTTTGTTAGGACACCACAAACATGGAGATAATCCAGATTACATGGGCCCATTATCAAAGTGAATTACAACAAGTTGGTCCACGCTGTCAGGAAAACGACAAACCAGTGAATCACGTTGACCTGCAAGTGTGGCAGCTTATTGAAAACCATCAGTGGAGCAAATCAAAGTTGAAGCCTTTTGCTCTTATTTCTGACAAACATGTGGCCAAATTGAAACAACTGGACAAGAAAACAGTGATTTAATCTTTGTTTTGGGCTGCATTTTAATTATTATCAATTACAAACAATTAGCAAAAGCTGACAGTAATTGTTAAGGTGAGAGGCACAATTTACCTCCGCTGTTAAACTAAAGGCTACACAGGCGGCTTACAGCCCTTTGGGGGGAAATAAAAATGAAATTAGGCTCCAGAGTTGGGCATGAAATCTTGGTTTTAGTCGCTTCTTCGCTCACTACTAAGAGAAGTGTCCGTTCGCACGCGACAGCAAAACAGTTTCTTACCTTTGACGGAGCGCGGTTTGGCCTGTTTTCGTCTCGACATCTCTGCTGTGCTTTCTTTAGAGCAGGTTTCTTTAATTCTTTAGTTGTTTTTGTTCCGCAGCTAACCATGCAGCTGGGCTTATCTGTCCTCCTCCTCTTCCTCCTCCTTCTTCTTCTTCCTCCACTTCGCTGCTGCTGCTGCTGCTGCTTCTTCGCCTGTTGCAATGCGGCAGCTTCAGCCTCTGCGAGCGAGAAACGGCCGTCTTAGTCCCGACGACAACAAGCGAACACACCGGGAGTGAGAGGCTGGCTGGCTTCAGAGGCTTCCTCTCCGGTGTGTCCTCGACACACACACACAGGAGGAAAAAAAAAACCGCTCGGGTTCGCGCAACCTGTAGAATAAACGGGGGCGCAACTTCCCACCGTCGGTTCTTCTTCTTCTTCTCCTCCTCCTCTGTTACAGCTTCTTCTTCTTCTTCTTCTATATTTTATTTATTAGCTTCTTCTCCGAGCGCTCGTGCTGCTCCTTCTTCTCCCTGCTTCCTCGCGGACCTGTGCGCGAGCTGCCACCCACGCGCGTGCCGAACACCTGAGCAGGTCCCGCGCCGTGTTTGAGGAAAAGTGACAGCGGCACCGTCCGAGCGCGAGGCGGCGGCGGCGGCGGAGGAGACACGGCGGTACGTGACGGTCCAGGTGAGGAGAGGAGAGGAGAGGAGAGCCGGCGGAGACTGTTTTTTTTTGTTTTTTTGTTTTGGGTGGAAGATTGGTTTCAGATCAACCGTAGCTTCTCGTCTTTTTTTTTTTTTTTTTTTTTTTTTTTTTAGTTTATCGCAACTATCTCAGCCTGTTTTCTGTCCTCCCCTCCAGGAACCGAGCAGCCTCCCGTGTTCCGTCCCGCTATTCTACACTAGGTAGTGGTGGTGGTCTGGTGGCATGGACATTGCGCTCTTCCCCTGCATCTCCACCCCGAGGGGAATGCTGCTTTTAACTACCCACGCTTTCTGATTTTTTTGAATTTTTTTTTTTTTTTTTTTTTTTTTTTAATATCTCCCAATGTCCTATCGGCGGTATTAATAATATTTCTTGCAGTCTAACCCTTCGCTAGCCTCTGTCTCCCTGCTTTTTCTTTGTCCTGACTCTGGCTACCAGTCTCCCTCCTCCTCCTCTGCCTGCCTCTGCTGGCGGGGCTGCGGCGCAGACACACATAATAAAGCCAAGGCAGGCAGTGCTTGGCTGGAAATGTAGCCGCGTCCCAGCAGGGGGATGTGAGAGAAGGGTCCCGGCGGGGGAGCGCTCTGATCCCGCAGGGAGCAGCTCGGCACAGCCCGGGTTGGCTGAGGCAGAGAGGCAGGAGAGAGGCAGGCTGGGCTGGCGGAGAGAGAGAGGGGAGGCAGGGGGAGAGTTAGGCAACAGCGCCCAGCTGTGGCCGAGTGGCACCACTGCAACGGGGACTCTGAGAATACGGAGGGAGGAGACGGAGGGAAAATGTGGAGTTGGACCGAAGTGAGAGGTGGAGGAGGTTCTGTGATTTAGAGTGAGATATAAGTACAGGAAAGCTGATCAGTATGCACAGACATAACTTCTAGAATGTCCATGACGACTGCTCTATTTATAACTTTACCTCATGCATGAACATCATGTAACACTGTTTTCTTTTCACAACCTTCAGGTGCAACAATTTTCATCAAGCAACTGTTTTTCTCCACATATCTCTTCCAGTTGCAAAACCATTTTTAACAGTTTTTCGTCCCATTGTTCTTCCAGTGCAACAGCATCTCTTGCAGCAGCTTTTTTTTCCTAATGTCTTATCCAAGGCAACATTTTAACACATTTTTTTCTCCTCATATCTCTTCCAGTGTAATGGCATACGTTTCCTCTCCTTACAGCTTTTCCAGTGCAAAAGAAATTTTTTTTGAACACATTTTTTTCTTTTTATCTTTTTCAGTGCAACATCATTGTTAGCACAGTTTTCCATCCCATAGTTCTTCCAGTGCAACAGCATCTCTGTCAACACCTTTTTCCCCTAATGTCTGGTCCAATGCAACATTTTTAACATGTTTTTTTTCTCCTTGTATCTCCTCCAGTGCAACAGCATACGTTTAGCACTGTTTCCTCTCCTTGTAGCTTTTCTAGTGCAAATAAAAAACTTTCTTTAACGCATTTTTTTCTCTTCATCTCTTCCAGTCCAATGCCATTTAAACCCAGTTTTTTTCCTCCATGAAGTTTTCCCAATGCAACATTTTTAACATGATTTTTTTATCCTGATATCTCTTCCAGTGCAACATTTTTAACACCATTTTCTCTGTATACCAGTGCAGCAACATTAGTTTAGCACTGTTTCCTCTCCTTGTAGCTTTTACGGTGCAAAAACATACTTAATACAGTTTTTCTTTATACCTCTATCGGTGCAACATTTATAACAGTTTTTCTATTTGTATCCCTTCCAGTGCAACAGCATCTCCTTTAACACTCTTTTTTTTTGTCTTATTCGGTGCAACATTTTTGACAGGTTTTTATCCTTATATCTCTTCCAGTACAAAACCATTTTATAACATTTTTTTCTCTTTTTATCTCGTTTAGTGCAATGTTTTAACACTGATTTCTCTTTATACCTCTACCAGTGCAACATTCTTTAACACTGTTTTGTTTTGTGATTTCTTTTTTCTTTCTCCTGACGTCACTTCCAGTGCAACAGCATTTTAAAACACCTTTTTAACCTTACAGCTCTTCCACGGCAGCATTAGCTTAGTACTGGTTCCTCTCCTTGTAGCTTTTCCCATACAAAAACATTTTTAACAGTTTTTTTTTTCTTCTTATAGCTCTTCCAGTACAACAGCATCTGTAACATTGTTTTTAACTTCGTAGCGTTTCCAGTGCAACAACATTTTTTACCATAGTTTTAACCCTGAAGCTCCTCAGGTGCAGCAACATTTCTTTAACACTGTTTTCTATTTACACCCTTCAAATGCACCAAAATTCTCAAAATCAAAATTCAACCATGAAAGCATCATGCACTACTTTGTTTCCATATCGCTCAACAACCAAATATAATGCTGTTTTTTCTCTTTAGGACATAATATAACACTGTTCTCTTTCAGCTCTTTATGTGCTTTACCATCATGTCAACACTGGTCTTTCCTCTCAATCATCACAGAAATGTAGCTCCACTATTCTGTATGCTACTCCTAATTATCCTTCACGCCGTATCTGTACTTGTTTATATGTAAATCCATCATGCCTCGTCTGTACATGTGAAAGGTCAGCATAGTCTTTATTATATCTTTATTTTTAGTCGTATTGTACTTCATGTATTTCTCGTCTTGCTTCTTTCATTGTATCCAACAGCTGTAACATGTACATTTCCCCAGTGACGGATCAATAAAGTTTATCTTATCATATCTTATCTTACACACATGATTGCAGCTCTTGCACAATGTACATTGCACTTTTCTTTTCTCGTCATTATTTATGTCAGTTTTTTTCTATATTAAGGAGTGTTTTGGGTTTTTCTGTTTGTTGATCGTGAGCCTTGTGGCACAATCATATTTTATTTCACTCACACAAATAAAGATCTTGAACCTACAAGTGATTGAGTGATTATCTCACCGAATCATACAGATGCTTGTGGATGAAAATAGTTTATTGTGAGCAACTTTGCACATACTGTACATTTCACTTTTCTATCTCTTTATTCTTCATGACTATTTTTCTTCTGTATTTAGGAGTTTAAATTAAAGAGACGTACTCTAACGCCAAATAACCCTTTTGAGAGAAGGCAAAATGGAGCAAAGTCTGTGATATTCAGTCCACTTGTGTGTTTATTGTACACCACACAGAGCAGCCTACAACAAACTTCGGTTCTCACAGAAAATATCAACTTACTTCACATTTCTTACCCTTTCCAGTGTGCATCGTAGATCTCCTCCAAGTGTGATTATCACCTGATTCTCATCTCCTGTTATGAGCTGCATCACTATATCCTGTGATCATCTTTTCAGGCTTTTGTTTACATTTAAACTCTGCACAACCTTTGTTTTCGGTAGTTTTTGTAATCTAAATGTTGAGGCTAACAGAATGAGTCACAAAATCTAAGTGACCTATGGGGTCTTTTCTTATATGCATCACCAGCACAGTTTTTTGTATGATTTTCACTCTCCTAAATAATTACCATTATTATATTCTAGCTATTAAATATATGTAAACAAAGGGTAATAACTGCCTGTTTGGACATATGCTCGATTATAATTCCCAACATGTCCTACCAGTGCTTCAGATTAAAATACTGCGTTATGAGCAGACAGGGAGAACAAAATAGCGACGGCGCAATTTAACTGTGAGCAGTCAGAAATCGCCAAAGCAGATCTCCGTTTACAGTACACCTTTTTTGATTTGAATCTTTCTTCCAAAATGCAAACTGGTAACTGATGGAGACTCTGCTGGAATTTTTCTTTTGCCTCCTCGTCCGTCCGAAGTTTTGAGCAGCTGTTAGATGAAAACATGGCACAGTCCCTGGTCCCAAATTGGCTGCTAAATTTCTTTTATTTGCCTGAGCCGGTTGCGGAGCATGACTTCACCTAAATGAGTCCAAATGTGTCCTTGCAGCTGTGGCTGTGGAGGCCTGAGTCGCCGTAAAAGCTGAAAATAGGCATTTATTTTGTAAGTATGTGTTCATCCATGAGCAAACGTGAAGCCACTGGCAACAAAAATGTACCAAAAACTTTTCGAATGTCTCGGCTTTTGGTGAGAGAAACAACAGTTTTCACCTCTTCTGCATCATCATCATCATCATTATTGTTATTATTCTGCACATAAAAGGCGTTTTAGATGTTCATACTATTCATACATTGAATGCTATCTTTTCTGACCACCCTCCCGATGTGGACATAAGGTCAAATTTATTTGCAGAGTAGCATATTTGTACATCTAGTCCAGAAATTCTGAAAAATATTTAAAAACCAGAGCAGCAATACTACCTGAGCTTGCAGGAAGCACGCATGGATTCGGCCTCTTCATAAGATTTGTGTATAATTTTGGGATGTGAGGCATTTTCAGTTCTGAAATTCTCACATTTTTGTGTGGGTTCATCATTTAACTTAATTGTGGTGGATTAATCTCTTTACAGCAGTCTCTGACAGGATTGGTTTAAGCCTGTTCATTTAGGCTGAGCAGAACCTACCCGTGAATAATGTACATTTTCTGCACTTTAGATCCAGACCGTACAAGAGCTCGGCTCTTTGTGTCGCAGTGATGTAACATCAAAGGTTTAAAATCTGCTGAGCCACTTCCTGAAAAAAAATATCTGTGTCCTCTGTTGCCCTTTTCTGTTGTGTTTCGGATCTACCCCTCCAAAAAGAAACCTTTTTGAAAGTGAAAATAAACCGTTTGACTTACTGTATAGACATAATTCAATTAGCTACACAAGAGTGTGTGCATTTGTGTGTAGCTGCATGCATGTGTGTTTGCACGTCTTCTTTAAAGCTCCTTTATTTCCAGTCAAGAAAAGAGGGACACGTCTGTGGACAATACAAAGCAGACAAAGAGGGGAAAAAATGAAAATCACTGGGTGCTTTGTTCTTCGCTCTCTGCTCCAACCGAGCGCTCTCTGACCGCAGCTGAGCTTTTCCATGTTCCTCTGTCTCTCTGACTTTCCCTCTCCTGTCTCTCTCTCTCTGGTTGTCATGGATAGCTGGGTAACGTGGAGCTCCCTGTGCTGACCAGCAGGACCGCAGATTGAGCCTCCCCGCCCCCCACTCCCACCCCGTCCTCCCACGGAGAGACAGAGCAGCCTTTAAGATTGACCTCCTGCTGGGGTTTGGGAAGGTTGGAGAGGAGGAGGCTCTCTTGTCTCTGTGCACTCCATCCCCTCCCTTGTCTCCCTCTGCCTCACCCTCCAACCTTCACCCTTCCCTCCAAATGAAATGAGTGCACGCCAGGAGACCCATGTGTGTGTTTCTGGGTGTGTGTGTGTGCGCGCGGGTGTGTGTGTGTGTGTGTGCATGCAAAGCTCCCCCAGTAGGCTGCCGCTGGCATGGAGGGGCAAAAGCCCTCGCTCAGCGGTTGGTCCTCCCTCCACCCCCGTCCCCCCTCCTCGTTTCTGCCGGTAAATACAAAGAGTGGGAAAAAAGCCCACATTACAAGCTCCTTAAGGGTCAAGGACAGGCCCCACTCTGAATAGCTTCTAAGAGTCGTATTGTTGAATCACATAGCTAGCGATTACACCCTCTGTCATCTCCACACGGATTTGGCTTTTTTATACACACAACAAGAGAACATCAAGTAGCAGCCACTGAATAAGTCGGCCAACAGACATGCAGTGGGAATTGATACAGACAGGACATCAATGGAATAAACCGAGGGCAGATGTAGAATTACAGCCCCAAAATGGGGATTTGGCTTAAAGATTTCATACCTTAGCAGCAGTCATTTTTACAGTGATGTTGGAATGCAAGAGCGCTGAGATTATGACACAGAAAATGAGGTGCCAGAAGTGTGCGTATTTTCATAAACGCATTCTGTATGTGTTGCTGTGGTTACACTGTCTCGCTGCAAAATCCACCTTTGATCCACCCATGCATACAGTATATGCCATTGTGTACTCTTCACTGGCTATTATGTGAGTTCTCCTTTCATTTCAATAGATCTGAAGCATAATTAAATGATTTCTGATGACCAAAAGCAAGGCGCCACTTTTATAATCTATGAACACTGGGTTTTAAAGGAGAACACTTTTTGTTCTGTTTCTTTTTGTTTGTCTATCTAAAGATACAGGATGACGACAGATTAAAGGAAAAACCAACATAAAGTGTCTTATTAAGTTTATTAA